AATCTCACGACGCCGAGGTCTGGCCGGGATTAGAAACGAAGGCGATGAGTCAAGAGCCAACGAATCTCCCCAGAAAATACACGATGATTTATCGCATTACAAAGTGTCCACGGATGAGATCGAGGATGCACGGCGGGTTTGTTTCGAGTTGCGACACCGAGAGGAGGAGCTCGTTGCCGAGTGCAACCGTCTGAAACTCAAGTTAAGTGAAGCGAATAAGATCGCTGCCTGTGCTGTAAGAGACCGCGAAAAGGCAGAAAAGGAAATTGCTGGGGAGCTCACAAAATTGAATTGGGGTGAAACCGACACTGAACACCAGATGCAACTGGAAAAACAGGTTGAGCTACTGAAAAAGCAGCTGGCTGATCTGCATGGCAAATTTGCTTTGACGGAAGTCGATCGGAAACGGCTGTCAGGCCTTTTGGAGGAAAGGAATTTACCCCAAAGTAAGCCTAATGAGCATTTGAATCATCCAAATGCCGAGGATCCAAAAGCATATTCATCCGTTAATCAGTCGGTTCAAGAAAGTCTGGCAGTTCATCGCGAAACGGAAAAGAACGAACTCAAGCGAATGCAGAGAGAAGCTGTGGATTTCAAGAGAAAGTTGGTTGCACTACAAAAAGACCTTGATGCTAAGGACGAGCAAATTGATAAGTACAGGAGGCAATTGTCACCAGGTCAAAAACAATATAATGCGGATTTCCATGACTCTTCGCCGAAATTTAACTGGTCCACTTCAGATGATCGTGAAATACACAAAAAGAGCGAGCAGGAAATAAGACGTCTGCAGAAATCCATGGAAGCAATACGAGGCGAACTGCAACAAGTTAAACAAGATAAACATAGACTTCAGCTAGAATTGAACGATGCAAACGAGCGTGCATCACTCTCAACGAGAAAGGGAGTGGTAGAAAAAACCGACCAGAAAAGTATAGCCGTTCTTAGGCGAAAAGTCGACAATTTCCTCAGCGATGCCAGCCGGGATGCGGCTACTATTCAGTGCCTCAAAAATGAGCTCCAAGCGGCACAAGAAGAACTAAAGTACGAGACCGAGGCCCGCGCTAAGTTTGAAGAACTCGCCGCTCAGGCGATCGATAGGAACAATCATGTCCCCAAGGCAGAGGTGGTGCGGTTGCAGCAACAGCTTCAAGAATGCAATCTACAACTTCGCCAAGCTCACGCCGAGGCGGATGAAACGCGGCGGAACGCTCAGAAAGAGATTCAGGAGCTTAAAAACTGGTGTGCGCAATTGAGAGAACGCCAAGATAAGCAGATGCATGAGATGGAGGTTGCCTTACGAAACAGTTCCACCGATCCGCAGCGGAACCGACCGACCGGGGAAAAAGTGCAGGTGCCTGATCTCCAAATGAAGACTCTTTCAAGGAAATATACGGGGGGGAAGCTTCTGGCAAGTGCACGCTCAAGTCACCAAACGAATAATGGGACTCAAGAGCAAGAAAAAAAAAGACTAGAGGGTTTGGGAGGGTCATTTTGGACCATTTCATCTGGCGATCCCGATGATCGGATAACCCAGATGCAACACCGTTCCATTGTGGATAAACTCAAGAAGGAAAATGCAGAACTTCGGTGCAAACACGACCTCCTGGTCCAACAGCTTAAGCCTTCAGAAGAGGAAGGAGGTGCCGAACCTGAAATCAAACGCGGTCTGCATGTTCAAAGGACGGTTCAGGCAGAGGCAGTGCACCTCGGGGAATCAGTGCTATCTCCCAAACATGATAGATTCAAAACAGGAAATCAGACAGGAGGGATTACTCGATCCGATGCATTTGGTACAAAGAACACAAATATGGGGAATCCAATCACTAGTTCGGGGGTAATGACAGCGGGAGGGGGAGAAAGCGAAGAGGTTATAAACGATAATGTGGATGGCCTAAAGACCGAGAAGTCCAGTTTACCTTATACACAAACCACAGGTGCCGAGCAAGAGAGAAAAAAGGTACCTGAGTTTTCCATGACTACCGAAACGCATCGCGATTTGAATTCAAATTCAATGAAAACGAAACAAAAGAAAAAGACTAACTGTAGTTGCCATTGAATCAGTGAACACTAAGCTTTTATTTGAAAGGGAGGAGATCCTCGTTAGACACTTTTTTTTACGTGTGTGTGATACTACTGTGTCTTGAGCGGTGTTCTTGTCTCACTTTATCTCGGATGAAGAACCGAAATGTAAATTTTATTCATCAAAGATGAAAATAA